TCCTTCTGCCTCAGCCTTCCAAGTAGCTGGAACTACAGGCATGCGCTACCATACCCAGCTTATTTTTTGAATTATTGTAGAGACAAGCTCTCACCAAGTTGCCCAGGCTGATCTTGAGCTTAGGCAATCCTCTCGCCTTGGTCTCCCAAAGTGCTGGGATTCCAGACTTGAGCTACCGCGCCTGGCAACTTCATTTTTTAAAGCACTCTTTTTGTAGCCTTTCTTTTCTCCTAAAGCAGAGGCTGGCATCCCTTTTCTGTAGTGGTTCAGATAGTAAACACTTCCAAGCTTGGCCAGCCGTGGGCCTCTGCTGCCCAATTTAACGCTGCCCTCAGAGTAGGGCAACTAGAGACAACAGGTAAACAAGTGGGTGTTTCCAGCGGGGTATGTTCCAGTAAAACTGAAAAACTGATTGTGGCTTGCTTTGGCACCATAGTTTGGCAAGCTTGTCCTAGGACTAGAGGTAGACATTCAGGACACAGCAGGCAGCTCACAGAAGGACCAGGACCAATTTTCACTGACGCTAAGCAACTGAGTGGCTGCAGGTTTTGTTGGGGGAATATCTCGCTGCCTGCAAGCCTTGGTCCCAGGGTGGCCTCAGGGACATCTCTTTTCTACTCAGATCACATGCTCCAGCAACACAGAGACTTTCTCAAGTTCATTTGCCACTGGGCAGCAAGGGTGGAGCTGAGGGGCCATGTGGCAGAGCTGTGTCGAGACCCAAGCTCCCCTTTAAAGGAAGGGAGTGCCTTGCCCCCCCCCAAAGAGGAAGCAGCTCCCCTTGCCCCATCATGAAAGCAATGGAAGGTATCCCCTCAGGGGGTGTCCAGGCAGCGGAAATGCCCACTGCAGCAGGATCTCTGGGGGTGGGACCCCGTACCAGGTGACTTCCTCAGGGTGGAAGAGAGCCTTGGTCCTCCAGCTCTTCGGGCAGCCCAAGACACACCGCTGCAGAGGCCCACACTACACGGAGGGCCCCAGCCTTCACAATACCAACAGCAGGCATGAAGAAATAGACTTTATTCATCTAGTTCTCAAATGCCAGAGACTAAAATGCTAAAATGCAACAGAATTATAACAAGTATTTACAGAGAGCTGTCTGTGGACCAGGTGGGGCTGGGCCTGGTTCCTCCCCAATCCCCAGCCAAGCCCATCCCCCAAACAGGCCTGAGCCACCTGCCACCTGCAGCAGAAACACCCAGCACACAGAGGACGCTTATGTACACCTGGCCAGACCCTCAGCGATGATATGCCAGGCAAGAGGGCACCAGACCAACACAAAAACCAACAGACAGACAGGCAGGAGCTGAGACAGCCCAGGAGGCTGTAGGCCTGACTCAGTGCTTCTTCAGGCTATAGGCCAGGCTGCCGGGAACCCTGGGGCCCTGCAGGGGTGGTGAGTTCCAGACTGCGGAGCTGGTGCGCTTGTGGTAGCGGGGCTTGCTCTTCTTGAAGATGTCCTCCAGGTCCAGGGGGAGAATGGTTCCAAAGAGCTCCAGAAGGTTCGGCGGGTGGTAGTACTGGTGGATGATGGCCTGGCTGAGTGGGGTGCCTGCAGGGAAACGCAGGGCCGGTCACTGCCCCGTGGCTCTCCACAAACCTCCCTGCCTCATGGCCCCCTCCAGAGCCCTGTCACCCTCTCCAGCCTGACACACCCCCGCCTCTGCCTCATCTGCTCCTTTCAGAGCCCTAACCCTGCCTGTACCAACACAAACCCTGGGAACGCCTGTTTCTTGTTCTTCCTGTCATCCTTGGGCAACCTGACCTGCACAAAGTCCTCCAGAGCTCAGGAGGGCTGGCCACTCCCTGGACGCTCAGCTGCAAGAGCTCACCGCCCTCACCACCACCTGGGAGGCAGGTGTTTTATCCTTCTCATCCTGCAGATGGGGAAATTTGCCCAGGCACACCACTAAGAACTCCAGAATATCCGCATATGATGCCAGCCTCAGTCACCTTGGTCAGAGGCTTCTCGTGAACCCCACGGGCCCCAAGGAGCAGGGTGCACCGAGGGAGACCTTAAGCTGTGGTTGTGGAGGCTGAGGAAGACCCCGGGGCATCGAGGGGCAGGAACGTGCACCAACACTTGCTCGCACCAGGTGCTGCACTAAGGGCCAGTTGTGTGTATACACTCATGCCACTCTCAGTGACCTCCTCAGCCTATCTTATCATTACCCTCTGGATTGGAAGAGGAAACTGTTTAAGCACGCTGTCCAAGGTCAACTGGACAACAATTAAGTGACTCCACAGGCCGTCTGGCTCCTTTTCCCTGCCACTTCCCGAATGACTTGCCACTAGCGGTTGAGGAGACTCAAGTCAATTCCAGGTGCTGCTGGGTTCCAATGAGGTGAAACTAACGAAAGCAACTTATTCCCTGCAGAGCCCTGGCCAGCTACAGGATCCTTGGCCCTTCCCTCCAGGGAGTCTGGGCCTTGCCCTGACACCCAGCTCAACAAACGGGAAAACACCCACTGTGTACACCAACCCCACTCTAGCAGCGCCCACTGTACTCACTGGCCCCATCTATTCCCACAGCACCCATGGTACCTACCCACCTGTCTACCAGGCAGCAGCCACTGAACCTGCCAACCCCCATCCACCCCAGCAGCACCCACGGTACCCACTGACCCCATCAACTCTGGCAGATCTGTCCACACTGTCCACACTGGCAGCACCCACTGTACACACCGGCCCCCCTATCCACTCCTCCAGGCCTCATACCCAGGCCTGAGGCAGCAGTCATTCTCACCCACACTCCTGTTTGAATGCCTATAAACTCCGAGTCAAATCCTGTTCACATGCCCACACCCTCCTCAGAGCCTTCCCTGCCTCCCCCAGCTAGCTGGAAGCTCTTAGTGATCGACCTAAGCCCACCCCCACTCTCAGCTCTTGCTCCCGTCCCAGGTTAGTTATCAGGTCCAGGTCTCTTTGGCCTGGGTGGGACTCTAAAGAGGGGCCCATTTCAAGTCAGAACACCCAGCAGCACGCCCTGCCCAAAGCCAGTGGAATTTTAAAATAGTTGTGGAGAACCAAGGAGCCCAACCTCCTGGGACTGGTCCTCAGACAAGCCCACTGGCCACAGAGGGCCCCACCCCCGCCAGGGCAAGTGCCCAAGGCTGAAGCCTCAGTCAATCAACTCACAGCCACAACAGCCTACTGACACCTGCAACGGCGAGCCCACGTCTCCAGAGCCCAAGGGGAGGCCAGGTCTCTGGGGATCCCTGCTTACCTCTGGCCCAGCTGGGGATGGGTTTCCGGGGATGGGCCTCATCATCGGTGGAGTCATCGCTATTCAGATCCATCCCGTAGTTGTCCGGGTTGATCTTCGGGGGGGCCCTGTGCCCTTGTGGAGTCATTTGATATGAGGTACAAGCTGGAGACTGGGAAAAATAAATGTGGCCGTCAGCTCTCCATCAGCCGCATTCCCGCAGGTCACCACCAAGGAGGGCTGGGGCACTGCTCATCTCTCCACATTTCACAGGACAGAAAAAAGATTCAGGCCACTTTTTAATCTTAAAAAGTCACAGAACATACACTGCTCTGTAAATTCCTTTTCATGTTAAGTTCTACTGCAAACTTTCTTACAGGTCAGAGTGGCTCGATTCACCACTTGGGAACAGCTCTGGAGACCCTATGATTTGCAACCAGCCATCGTCATCAGGCATGACTATCTTCCAAGTTCTTGACATCTTAATTGTGCTGCAGTGAAAACCCTTCTTCGTTTTATATCTTTTGGTAGCAGCACTGCACTGACATTAGTGTAAATGCTCATCAACAGGAACTGGCCAAATTCGACCACAATTACTGGTACATAGTCACCCAAAATAAGAAATTTACCTGTGTTGAAACAGATGTCTACAATATACTAAAGGAAAAATTAAAAAATCAGCCAGCCACGGTGGCTCAAGCCTGTAATCACAGCTCTTTGGGAGGCCGAGGCAAGTGGATTGTCTGAGCCCTGGGGTTTGAGACCAGCCTGGGTAACTTGGTGAGACCTCATCTCTACAATAAATCAAAAAATTAGCCAGGCATGTTAGTGCGCTTCTGTAGTTCAAGCTACTTATCAGAAGGTTGAGGTGGAAGGATCACCTGAGCCCAGCAGGTCGAGGCTGTAGTGGCCATGAGCATGCCATTGCACTCCAGCCTGGGCGACAGAGGGAGACTCCAACTCGAAAATAAAAATAAAAATCAAGCCGCCAAATGGTGCATGCCCACTTAAAAATATATGTATGGTTAATGAGAGAGAGAGAGACACTGACTATCCATGTGTTATATATGTTAAAATGATTATATAAGTAAAACTCTAGAATGATATACATAGAGTTTAGTAAAGTTTTCCTGAGGGTCCTTTTGTTTTTAACTTTATACTGTTATAAAGTTTAGGAGTTTTTTTTGTTTTTTTGACAACAAATTCTACTTTTAGAATAAGAAAGAATATGAAAAATAGTTTTAAAAAAAGTGTATCTGTCTCTATCTTAGGATTCTAACATATATATATATATATAGTCTGTGCCTCTAGCTCCTGGGAAGGGAATAATCAGAGTGGGGGCCCTTCCACCCTGGGGGCCCCCTACCAGGGCCCAGGCTGCACCTGCACATCCACAGTCACATTCAGGGCTTTGCTGGCCTCTGCCGCCTCCTTGGCTTTCTTTTCCTGCTCCTCCTGCAGCCGCCGCTCGGCCAGACGCTGCTGCTCCTCCTGGAAGCCAGGCGGCAACAGGGTGTTAGGGAGCCATGAAGGCTCCCTCCCCTCCCAGCCCCTGCAGCAGCAGCAGGAGTCCAGACCAGCCCACAGCTTCCTGCAGGTCCCACAGGAGCCCCCAGCCCCAGCTCCCCTCACCTTCTTCTTCTTCTCCTCCAGTTCCCTCTGCACCCGCTCCTTCTGCAGCCGCAGGGCCTTCTCCCTCTCCTGCTGTTCCCTACAGACCCAGAAAAAGCCTGTCAGGGCAGAAAGAGGAGCCCCTTCCCCACCCCTATTCCCATCCCAGTCGGCAGGACACACCTTGGAAGGTGCAAGGGCAGAATGGGTACCTGGCTTGGAGCCGACAGCTGCACTCTTGCCCCAAGGGCTAGGAGTGCGCACACCCAAGGGTGCAGGGAGTGTGGGTCAAAGTCCAAAATCTGGCCCCTCCTCTTCCTCACAGCTTTAGTCTCTGAGTCTCATTACACTTTTATACTTTTCTAACATGTTTTCTCCAGGTTCATCAGGAGAATCACAGGGGATAATCCACACTACCTCTAATTATCCTAACCCACAGGCAGATGCTGGTTTCAAGCACAAAGGGCTTGAAGGGCCATTTGAGAACTAAGAAGGGTCCTGGAGGCACCACTGCAACACACCAGCTCATGACCTTGAATAGGCATTTAACCTCTCTGAGCCTATCTCCCCTGTGTAAAGTGGAGCAGGTGGTTCCCACGCCATCGTGGGCTTCAAAGAAAGACTAAACACTCACTTGAAGTGAGGAAACATGTAAAGCAGGTAGCTTGGTATCCCCCAAAGTTGCCGACATGACTGTCACACCATCACGCTCAAAGTCCCTGGCCCTGCCAGGCACCATATAATCTAAACCCACATTAGCTATCTCCCTCGCTTTCTCCCTTTCCCAGATTCCTAACACTGACTCTATCAGAGGACCAGAGACACCTCTGTGTCAGTCACGCGGCCCTGACACAGTCCAGCCCGCAGGCTGTGATGCCTCACTTCTCCAGAAAGCCTGCAACCACCCACAAAAAAGTGGTGCCTTGGTGCTTCCCAGGAAATGGAAGCAGGCGACAGGACAGCTGTGAGGCCCTGTGTGCCTCATACACCAGCGGGTACAGGATCCTGCCACAGTGAGTGGGACTTATCCTCCCTAGTACTCGCGGGACTCAGCACAATCAGAGGACAGACCCTGGATAAACGCTTGTAAAACTGAACATGGGATTCCTGTCTACTGCAAAGACAGCCGCCACCTGCAGAGCTGCAGGACACCAGGGCTCATGGGACTTGCAGTTCCCAAGAGGGCATTCTGGAAACAGTGGGGGGGGGTGCAACTTGAGTGATCACCGCCACCAGGGCCAGAGTATTGAGTGGGGGCAGGGGCCAAGGATGCCAAGTCCTACAACGTGCCACAAAGATCCTTCGGGCCCAGAATGCCCACAGTGGCCCTTTTAAGAAACCCCAGCCGACCCAAAGGGTCAGTACGAGAGGTGGAGGCAGAACCAGGACGAGCCCCGAGCAGCCGCCGATGCTCCTTGAATCCCCTGTTCAGGCGGGCCGCCAGCTGCCAGCATCAGGGCTGGGAGCCAAGAAAACACTGCAAATCCGCGAGCGAGAGCAGGGCTGCGCCCAGGCCCAGCGAAGGGCCTCACCTCTCGGCCTGGATCCGCTCCTGCTCCCGGCGGCGCTCCTGCTCGGCCAGCTGCCGCTCCTGCTCGCGGCGCTCCTGCTCCCGCTGCTCGGCTAGCCGCCGGGCCTCGGCCGCCTTGCGCAGCCGCTCCTGCTCCTCCTCCTTCTTCTTCTGCAGCAACTCTTGGTGCCGCCGTTCTTCCTCCTCCTGAGGCCGAGAGAAAGGTCGGCCGAGCCAGCAAGGGAGCACAGGGCCAGGGCAGGGGAGGTCCTGCCCGACCCCTCACCACAGACCACGCAGGGGCAGAGCCGCGGGACACCCCAAGGCTGCCCAAGAATCACCACTGGCTGGGCACAGTGGCTCAGCCCTGTAATCCCAACACTCTGGGAGGCTGCGGTGAGGCCATAGGTTCGAGAACTGTCTGAGCCCATGGGTTCGAGAACGGCCTGGGCAACTTGGCCAGACCTCATCTCTACAATAAATAAAAAAAAATTAGCTGGGCACGGTGGTGCATGCCTGTAGTTCCAGCTACTTGGCAAGCTGAGGGAGAAGGACTGCCAGGGTCCAGCAGGTCGACGCTGGGGTGGCCGTGAGCGTGCCCCTGCACTGCAGCCTGGGAATAGGAGTGAGACTTCAACTCAAAAAATAATAATAATCACCATGACCCGCCTGAAAAGGATCTTGTGACAACTTGTGCAACTGCAGCAGGTTCAGCCAGGGACGGACTCGAGCCAGATTCTAGCTGTGTGATGCTTGGGCAAGGCGCTCAACCCCTCTGGTCGGTTTCCTCATGCATAAAATGAGGACAACAGTCATGCCCACACCTCACAGAGTTGCTGAGTTTATAAGCATAACACGCCTACAACAGCTCCTGGTAGAGTCAGCAACAGTTAATAATAGTTACCATAACGGAAGCCCTAAAAGACAGGTTTGTGTTTCCTAAAGACATCAGACTGACAGGACCCGGGAAGCAGTGGAGCTGCTCTTACAGATGGAAAATTCAAGGGATGGATCAAAACAGCCATCACGTGGAGAACATTTGGCACATCCCGTGCACTACCTGAGCACTTTACACAAACGCAGGTCATTCTCACCACAACCCTATCAAGTAGACGCCACTGCTATGTGAAAAAACAGAAGCACAGAGAGGGCAGGGAGCCTGTCCAGGGTCGCACAGCTCATAAGTGGCAGGGCTGAGACAGGAAGTCTGGTTCCAAGAATGTGCACTGAACCCTCAAACTGCCACTTCTACAGAAGATGAGGCAAGTTCTGGCCGCCCTTCCCTTTCCCGAGGCAATTCCAGAACCTCCTTCTGGGCTAGAAGCAACATGACTGCCAGCATCAACCCCACAAAGTGGGATTCGCCCAGCAGGTCCCTGGGGCGCCAAGACCGTGCCCAGCTGGCCCACCTGCATCCGCACCTGTTGCAGCCACCGGAGCCTGCGTGCCTCCTCCTCCTGCTTCCTGCGCGCCTCCACCTCCTCCATCTTCTTGGCTGCCGCTTTCTTCTTGGCCTTCTCCTCCGCCAGCCGCTCCTCCTTGGCCTGCGGAGCCCCCCACCCACACACACGCCAGTTGGAGCAGCCCACGTTTGGCCTGAAGGTGGGGCCCGGAGCCCCAGGGGCCAGGCCCTCTGCGTGCCTGCACACTCCACTTGTTCCCGCAGCTCAGGAGACAGGACACCAGAGGCCGGTCCAGGCCCAGAGCATCAGACCCCACTCACAGAGGGCTGCCGGGAAAACCCAGAGCCGGGGAAAACCCCTCCTGAGCTCAAGAGATCCTCCCACCTCAACCCCAGCTGGTTCAGAGCACACCCAGCACCGTGGGGCAGACAGGAGGGGCACAGGACATGGCCCCTTCCAAGAGCTCCAGCCAGTCCTAACCCTGGGGCCAGGTCTGAATTGCTCAGGACACTCTAGGCCCCGCCCCTGCCCAGGCGCCCACCTTCTCTGTCTTCTCGTCGATCTGAGCAAACTTCTGCTCGATCTGCTTCTTCTTCTCCTCCTTCATCTGCTCCACTCGCTCGCGGGCCTGCAGGACCTTGCGGAGACGTTCCTCGCGCTTCCTGCGGGGTACAGGGCGGTCACGGGGAGTCCCGCTGAGGCCGGGTGGGCCGGGCAGGCCGGGCAGGAAGGAGGGACAGGGCCACTTACAGCTTCACTTCCTCCAGCCGCCGGCGCCTGTCCTCCTCCGCCTTCTGCCTGCGCAGCTGCTCGGCCTCCTCCTTCCGCCGCAGGTTCTCCAGGCGCTGCCGCTCCTTCTCCTGACAGGGGCGGGATGGGATGTGAGGCAGGGTCACCCCCAACCCTGAAAGGTGCCCACAACCACCTGGGCGGCAACATCACAGTGTTCCTTAGAGGCAGAGATGCCCCCAGCCCCAGTCAGGCTGAGACCTCTTTCTTGCCAGGAGCACCCAACTGCCTCCGGAGAGTCAGAGCCACAGGTACTCTCAGCTGAGCCCTGGCAAGTTCTGAGCAGCAAAAAAAGTAAGCTCAAAACCAGACGTATGCGTGGGTTATAACTACAGTTAATTCTTGGACAACATGGGTTTGAGCCATGCAGTCCCCTCATACGAGGGTTTTCTTCCCCTTCTGTCACCCCTGGGACAGCAAGACCAGCCCCTCCTCTTCCTCCTCAGCCTATTCCACAGAAACACGACCAGGATGAAGACCTTTATGATGGTCCACTTCCACTTAATGAATAGTGAACGTATTTCTCTTCCTTGTGATTTTTTAAATTATTTGTTTAGACAGGATCTTGCTCTGTCACCCAGACTAGAATGCAGCAGCACGATCTTGGCTTACTGAAGCCTCAACCTCCTGGGCTCAAGTGATCTTCCCACCTCAGCCTCCTTAGTAGTTAGGACTCAAGTGTGAGTCACCATGCCTGGTTAATTTTTTTCTTTTCTTTTCTTTTCAGCAGAGACAGGATCTCACTACGATGACCAGGCTCTGATTTTCTTAATATTTTCTTGGTCAGGCATGGTGGTGAGCCTATAATCCCAGTACTTTGGGAAACCAAGGCGGGAGGAATGCTTGTGTTCAGGAGTTGGAGATCAGACTGGGCAATATAATGACTTTATCTATACAAAAAAATTTTAAAAAGTAGGTGGGCATGGTGGCACACATTGTAGTCTTGTTACTCAGGAGACTGAGGCAAGAGGATCACTTGAGCCCCAGAGTTTGAGGCTATGGTGAGCCATGATCATGCCACTGCACTCCAGTACAGGCAACAGAGTGAGACTCTGAATCCCCCACAAAAAAGAACAATAATAATACTTCTTCTCTAGCTTTATTGAAAGAATACAGTATATAACACCTATAACATATAAAATATGTGTTAATTGATTGCTCATGTTATTGATAAGGCTTCCGGTCAACAGCAGACTTAACAGTAGTTAAGTTTTTGGGGACTGTGTGGGGAGCTGTTAGTCAAGAGTTAGTCAAGAGTTAACTGTATATAAACATTGCATTTGAAAAAAAGAATGAGGAATGAGATTAGGAAGGGACAGAGAGCAGTTTTGAAAGTTATGGGTAGTGTTCTATTTAAGGGGATGGCAAGTACATGAGTGTTAATTTATTCCTATTATGCTTTGTATGTATATACACCCATTTCTTTTTTGTTGAGTTGGACTGTCACTCCGTCACCCAGGCTAGAGTGCAGTGGCCACTCATGGCCACCCCAGCATCGACCTGCTAGTTTCCGGCGATCCTTCTGCCTCAGCCTTCCAAGTAGCCAGAACCACAGGTGCGTGCTACCACATCCGGCTAATTTTTTAATTTATTGTAGAGATGAAGTCTCACCAAGTTGCCCAGGCCATTCTCAAACCCATGGGCTCAGGCAATCCTCTCACCTTGGCCTCTCCAAGTGCTAGGATTATAGGCTTGAGCCACCACACCTAGCTCACACATATTATTTTGTGTAAATCAACTATTTCATATTAGCTGAAAAAAGTAAAAGAAAATATTACCAAATGCTAAAAGAGGCTACTAAAGGCTAGTGAGATAGAGATGGTATTTTTTTCCCTTTATTGTCCAAACCTCCTATGAAATGGTTATGTTAATAATTTTTAAATCAAGGCCATGTGCAGTGGCTCATGCCTGTAATCACTTGAGCCCAAGAGTTCGAGACTAGCCAGGGCAACATAGTGAAACCTGTTCTCTACAAAAAGTCAAAAAAGTAGCTAAGAATGGTGGTACGCACCTGTAGTCCCAGCTACTCAGGAGGCTGAGGCAGAAAGATCACTTGAGCCCCGATGGTCAAGATTGCAGTGAGCTGTGATCATGCCACTGCACTCCAGCCCAGGCAACAGAAAGAGACTCTAACTCAAAAAAAAAAAAATAGTTTAAAGGAAAAAGAAATAATAATTTTTAAAACAACTGTTAAGATACTAGTTGGGCCAGGCTCAGTGGCTCAGCCTGTAATCCCGCGCTTGGGGAGGCCGAAGTGAGTGGATTGCCTGAGCCCGCGAGTTCGAAACCCACATGGGCAACTTGGTGAGACCTCATCTCTACAATAAAAATCAAAAAATTAGCCGGGCATGGTAGCGCACACCTGTAGTTCTAGCTACTGGAAGGCTGAGGCAGAAGGATCACCAGAACCCAGCAGGTTGAGGCTGCGGTGGCTGGGAGCGGTCACTGCACTCCAGTCTAGGCAACAGAGTGAGACTCCAACTCAAAAAAAAAAAAAGATGCTAGTTGGTTTTACTGCAAATTGATGCTAGCAACCTTTCCTGGGCAGACCCAGAGAGTCCTGGGGGCACACACATGGCAGAGCGGGCAACCAGCAGGGATGTACAGGGGCTCCAAACCCTCCCTAGCCCAGGACAAGACTGGTGCTTTGCCCCTGAATGGTCTGAGGCTGGGAGTGGAGGCTGGGACCCAGATGGAAGGCCCCACCCATCACCCCAATCTGGACCCCACCAGACTCCCACCTCTGGCCTCAGTGTTAAATGGCCATTGGCCCTCTTTCTCCCCACACTGACTATACCAATTCCTCCCTGGCTCCTAACCCTGGCTGAGCACTGCCACCTAGAAATCTGGCTCCAAGTTAACGTCCCCTGCTAAAGATGGAGAGAGGGGTTCCGGCTACGGGTCAAATGGAGTAGACACACTCCACCTATCTCTCCCACTGAACGCAGCTACAAAACCTGGGCAGAACGCAAGGAGCAGCCACTTGAGGCCTCTGATGAGAAACAGGAGCAGGAGGCTGGGAAGAAGCATCACCCAGACTGCGGTAAGCTTGCCACTGTTCTAGAGCCTAATTCCACGTAGTCTGAAACACCAAAGGAGTCACCAGGTACAAGCCGAGAGAACTCCAGGAAAAGCCTCTAGTGCTGACTAAAGTCCCAGAAAGTACAAAAACACCATCTTGTTTTTTCCTCCTTCCTCCCTTCCCCTTGTGCCCTTGCCCACAAGCAATCCCAGGTAACCAGGGGCAGCAGCTGTTACAGGAATGCAGAGTCAAAACTCTGAGAGAGAACCTTCCTCTCCAAACTATGGAGCTGTGATCTCAAAAGTGCAGGCCAAGTCCTGTTTGTTGCAGTTTTCCTTCTCCGTCTCCTGCCAGGTGGGGTGGCAGTCGTGGAAGCACACAGCAGAACCAGGTCACCAAAGACCCAGCTTCCCAGCTGGAGGACAGAAAAAGGGAGCCCCAGAGAACCAGAAAGTGCTGGAGTGATCAGGAAGGTGATACCACAGGTGACTCAGCTCCAAGGCATAGATATGAGGATCTGACCCTAACTATCACATCAAGACTTGGAAGGCCGGGCTTGGTGGCTCAGCCTGTAATCCCAGCACTTTGGGAGGCCAAGGGGCATGGACTGCCTGAGCCTGCGGTTTCAAGACCAGCCCAGGCAACTTGGCAAGATCTCGTCTCTACAAAAAAAGAAAAAAATTAGCTGGGCATGGGTAGCATGCGCCCGTAGTTCTGGCTACTTAGAAGGCTGAAGCAGAAGGATTGCCAGAGCCCAGCAGGTCAACGCTGGGGTGGCCGTGAGCATGCCACTGCTCTCCAGCTTGGGCGACAGAGTGAAACTCCAACTCAAAAAAAAAAAAGACTTGGACAATAACTAAAAGCTCTCCTTTCGAGTCCTAGATTGTCTACTGACCAGCACACACCCAGGGCAGACCCAAATAGCACCATAAGGCCTCCAAAATAGGAGCTAACACTGGAACCACATCCACTGAAGGCAGGTCAGAACCTGCAGCCTGAACCTAACCAGATTTACTGCTGCTCAACTGCATTGTTGAGAAAGTATCAGTATTCTCTGTAGATTAAACAAGGTCCAGAGTCTCACAACACAATATCCAGGATACAATCCTAAATTATCCCATAGGCCCCTGTCTCCTAGCTAAGGACTGTCCACACCCACCAGATGCTCTGTGCGGGGACTTGGGAACCCCTCAGGAGGAAAGGGCAACTTCCTGGGCGTCATGTCATCACCATAAGATCAGCAAGACCCCAACTGGTCTGGGTGGGTCACAGGTGGTAAGGCCACGCAGCCTGCTTGCTGGCATACTGAAAAGCACACTCACCTTCTCCAACCACAGGGGACAACCCTCCACGCAGAAGAGGAAAGTTCAGTTGGCCCACCTGGCCAGCTCCTACCCACCCAGGCCCTTGACTGGAGGCAGAAGCCACCCCTCCCCCCCAGTCTATCACAGGGCATCTCTGTGAGACTGAGGGAGAGTCTACAGAAACTAAAGGAATAAGGGGCTGTGGCCTTGGCAAGTGGCACGGGGAACTGGGACTGTGGGCTGAGCAGGTCCCAGCTCTCCAAGGCACCTTGCTCCCGGCCTGTGTCCTGGCCTAGGTCAGCTCCGAGGTGTCTGAGAAGAGAACAGTCTCTGTGCCTTGGTTCCAGATGCCACTGCTGATAGTACTACTGTCACCCAGCCCGGCAACACCTAGCATGGCAACACCCAGCCTCTAGCCTTGGTTCAAACCCAGACTTCCCCTCCCCCATCACCCCACCATCCCAAGGCTACTGCTCAGGTCTGTGACCCAATACGTCTCAGAGACTCTAGGGACCAGAGACAACTTGTCTGTTCTCTTCCCAGACCCACAGACCTTGAGGGGGATCCTGGTGCCAGAGAGGAGGGAGGGAGGTGGCCCTGGTGAACAGCCATAGGCCACAACCCCTTGCTTCCTCCTAGAAGCAGAGTCAAGAGCAGAGGGGGCAGGCCCTGCGGAGGGAGGATGCTGGCCCCAGAACCGCCGGGCGCCTCTGGCCAGTGCACCCCCACTGCCCCGCTCGCTTCCTAATGCTCCCCTCCCGCTTATGGTATTAGTGCGTCCATGGTGCTGTCAGCTACACAGGGACAGGCTACAGCGTGTGAGTGCTAGGCAGGGCTAGGTTACCACACAGGAAAGACTTTACTTACGACAAAGCTGCACTGTGGAGGGGAGGAGACAAGGAAGAAGCCAAGAGTTAATGCTGGGCAGGGGCATCCCACCAGTGGCCACACACTCGGTGGTGCCAGCGAGGTAGCTCGGGGCCTGGCCTGCACCCTCTCGCCAGCAGCATCCCACCTCCTCTTCTCCCACCCAACCCTCAGCCCCAACAGTGAAGGTGCCCACTTGTGTACCTCATCTCGACCACTGTGGGGACAGTGCAGGGGCTCTGCTGGGCCAATCCTGCAACTTCCCAGCCCAGGGCTCCAGGCCCAGGACTCGCACTGCACCTACTGGGCCCACAAGGTCGGGACAGTGACCCCAGATGTTGGGCCACAGAGGCTTGAGCCACAGAGGCTTGCGCTGGCCATTGACAACACTGCCCAAGCCTAAGCTACCCCAACTCTCACAAAGCCCAGCCTGGGGTAAGGGCCCCTCACCTTGGGGTCCACGCGCAGGGGAGTATTGCGCTTAATGAAGGACTTCATGACGCTATGGGGGGCTGAGGCTGGGGTCATGAGCATCTGGTTCCTCTGCACCGTGTGCAGGAATGTCCGGAGGGGCCGCACCACCTGCAGACGAGGACCAGGGTCAGGGTTCAGCAGGCAGGGGAGGGCACTGAGGGAGGGCAAGGGCCCGGCTCACCTTGCTGGCCGGACAGGGCGAGGAAGGGGTCTTGCTCCTAGGCGGCTGCATCTCTTCATCCTCCAGCTGGGACTCCTCATCCAGCTCACTTACTGCCTGCTTGTAGCTGCGCTTTCTCCTGCCGAGACAGGCGACAGTGTCATGGACAGCCCACCACAGCCCAGGCATGCCCCATTAAAGGTCGCCCCCATGTACAACGCTGGGCCCAAGCTACAGGTCTCTAGAATGGAAGTGATTACAGAGCTGGGGTCTCCCTGACCGACCCTCTGCTGCCCAGTCAGAGGAAGGGAAGTGATCAGTCCGAGGTCACATGGCCAGGAGGCCAGGGAAGAACGGGTCAACAATCGGGTCACCCCCATTCCCAAGGTGGCATTCGTCTGAAGCATCAAGCCATCTCCCTTGTGAAGTTAGAGAACCAGGCTTCATCTACATGTCCACCCTCCCTGAGTGAAGGCATAAGGTCATGCTCCTCTGGGCCCCTCGGAACAGAGTCACCTACACACCACTTCCCAGATGCAAACCTGACACTCTGAGGTGGCTCTCTGGGCCCATCTGCTTGGTCAGTCTTGGCCTCTGTGAAGAGAGCAAAGTTGCAAGGCTGCAGAAATGATGGCGGGGTGGGGGGGAGGTGGGGGGGGCGAGTAGCTCAGTGGGGTGAGGGGAAGGTATCTCCCAGCAGCAGCCTTGGCTGGGACGAGACTCCCTTCCTGGCCAGTCACAGAAGCATCAGTCTTAGCACAGACTGGCCTTGAGGAATCTAGGAAAACCAAAGCCCAGCATGCTACTCTCAGCCCACAACCCCCTCCCCACAGTGCCTGGCCTCTGTGGCAGGAATGGCAGGG